TCAAATTTAAAACATCATATGGTGTTAAACTATTGAGGTATATCAAATAAAATTAAACGTAATAATATTGCAATCGAAAAATAAATTTGTCAGCAAATTGCAAATAAAAGTCAAATTCTAATCACTTTGTTACAATTTTAATATTTTGTAGTAAGCTATATAGATATAATGGTTTTCACTGAACTGTTATTTAAGTCCATTCTCAGTAGTGCGTATGTCGTATTCCAGCAACTTCTAATTATTGTATTTTACTCCCCATTTTCAACAATTTCTGTGGTGGCTTAAATATACCTTCGTACATTTGCTACAACAGATTTCAGATTTACTTCCTCCACAGACTTAATCCAACGGATTTTTAAGAAATCGCTTTGATGTATGGATATTCTTCTCTCCCATCTTTTGATTTATGCATATTTACCCTAATAATTTATATCCACTTAGAAAATTTGGTAAAAATTTCCGAAGAGATCCAAATGGAAATCTCCATCGAGGCGTAAAGGGTTCAGTGTCTGTGCATACCTTTCGATGCCAATGATCACCGTTATTGAATCAGTGTAAAGTTTCGAGCAAGAGATGATAATAGAAGGAATGTAGGCGCTCGAGCGGAAGGCGAACTAAGCAAAGTGCCAGATTACAAATTCAAGATATTTATGATAGTCTCGGTGGCCTGGGTTCTTCACCTCTATTGTTTACATCCTGTTACGGACATCTTGAGATTTATACCTTGAAGTAAGCCATTTGGATCCCGGTTATGATTAATGGACGTTGGACCCACTTATTATTGCTTTAATTCCAGTCGCGGGGACATAATTAACATCATTTGGAGAAATTTTATGGATAATTTACAGAACGCACCCTCAAATACAGATAAGAAATTTGAATTAGGTGCTTGATCGTGGCATTTAAACTTAAAAGCCAATATGGACCACCTTATAATTCCCACTTGAACTCGAAAAAATGGGAAAATTGATTTCTAAAAGTCATGAAGATATCGCGTTTCAATTTATTTCACAATAATATTGTAAAGAACTAATGCTGCTGTTTGAGTTTTTATTTGACCACAAATGTTAAACTAAACAAGGAACGCGATTAAGCCAAGTTTTTCTATTAATACAAAAACTATTCAATGCGGACACTAAATAGAGGGTGAGTATCATAATAACGGGACCCTGGTCAAATTTCAATGCAACACAAAATATATTTCTCGTATGTAAATCTTTTTATATTTAATTTTTCTAAAATGTATAAACATAGTTACCTAGTAGTTAATTTTGACTTTCGCAATAATTTTGAGCTAGGGTAAGTTTTTAGTCTTCGTCTCCCATTTCCGTCTGTCTGTCCGTCTGTCCGTCTGTCCGTCCGTCTGTCCGTCCGTCTGTCCGTCCGTCTGTCCGTCCGTCTGTCCGTCCGTCTGTCCGTCCGTCTGTCCGTCTGTCCGTCTGCCCCCGGATTTTTATTAGACAGATAATCTCCGAAAGTACTCGACCGATTGTTGTGAAATTTTGTACTTATATTAAGAATATCATGTAGATGGTAAAACGCTAACCAAAATTTGTCTAATCATCCCCACCACTAATGCGATGACGTTACTTCAAAATTGTACATAGTAAATGGGTTTTCAATTGTATAAAATAACATAGTCCTACACATGTAGTTTACAACTCTGAATCGACTTTTCACCCGAAACGTCCAGATTTTTGGAAAAAGAATCAAAATTATAAAACAACATTTTGAAATTTAATTTTTAATCTGCTAACCAGAATGCTTTGAAATGTCGCAGATGTTTTAAGGCTATAAAGAGCATCATAAATCTTTAGTCAAAAAATATTTGCTTATCCCCTCCAAAAACTTGATGACGTCAGCTCAAAAGTTTGTGGAATAAATCATATCTAAAATGTACAAAATATGATGAGTCTGTACTTGTGATCTATCACTCCATTCATATTTTTTGGATTTGCATATACAGGGTGACTCAAAAAAATTAATGAATGCGTAAATATATTTTATTGATTTAATCAGGAACTACAAAACCGAATGCTCTGAAATCTTGCAGATGTTTTAAGGTCATAAAGAGCATAATAAATGTTTAGTCAAAATATATTTGCTTATCCCCTCCAAAAACTTGATGACGTCAGCTCCAAAGTTTGCCGAATAAATCATATCTAAAATGTACAAAATATGATGAGCCTGTACTTGTCATTTATCACTCCATTCATATTTTTTGGATTTGCGTATACAGAGTGACTCAAAAAAATTAATGAATGCGTAAATATATTTTATTGATTTAATCAGGAACTACAAAACGGAATGCTCTGACATCTTGCAGATGTTTTAAGGTTATAAAGAGCATAATAAATGTTTAGTCAAAATATATTTGCTTATCCCCTCCAAAAACTTGATGACGTCAGCTCGAAAATTTGCCGAATAAATCATATCTAAAATGTACAAAATATGATCAGCCTGTACTTGTGATCTATCACTCCATTCATATTTTTTGGATTTGCATATACAGGGTGATTCAAGAAAATAAATGAAAGCGTAAATTTATTTTACTGATTTACTCAGGAACTGCAAAACCGAATGCTTCGAAATCTTGAAGATATTTTAAAATTATCATAAGCATGGTAAATTTTTGATCAAAATGTATTTGGTCGTCCCCCCTAAAAAATTTATGACGTCACCACAAAATTTTGCTGAATAAATCCTATCTAAAATGTACAAAATATGGTGAGTCTCTTCTTGTGATTTATCATTCCATTCAAATTTTTTCGATTTGCATATACAGGGTGACTCAAAAAAATTAATGAATGCGTAAATTTATTTTATTGATTTAATCAGGAACTACAAAACCGAATGCTTTGAAATCTTGCAGATGTTTTAAGGTTATAAAGAGCATAATAAATTTTTAGTCAAAATATATTTGGTTATCTTCTACAAAAAACTGATGACGTCAGCTCAAAAGTTTGCCGAATAAATCGTATCTAAAATGTACAAAATATGATGAGTCTGTACTTGTGATTTATCATTCCATTCATATTTTTGGATTTGCATATGCAGGGTGACTCAAAAAAATTAATGAAGGCGTGAATTTATTTTATCGATTTAATCAGGAATTACAAAACCGAATGCTTTGAAATCTTGGGAATATTTTAAAGTTATTATAAGCATGGTAAACTTTTGTTCAAAATGTATTTGTTCATCCCTCCTAAAAAAATTGATGACGTCACCCTTAAATTTTGCTGAATAAATCCTATCTAAAATGCAAAAAATATGATGAGTTTGTACTTGTGACTTATCATTCCATTCATATTTTTTAGATTTTCTTATGAGGTGGTTCAAAAAAATTAATGAAGTCAATTTATTTTATTGATTAAATTAAGGGCAACACTTATTATTAGTATTACACCCCAACCAACCCAATTTGGTAGACACAAAATTTGTTAAAGGAAAAACTCGGTTGAAACATAAGGGTAGCACGCTTATTTACATCGACTTAGCAATAAAAATCTAGTCATAAGAAAAAATTAATACCACTTAGCCGAATTTTATGGATTAACGCTTCTAAAACAGTCCTTAAACATTCAGAACAACTACGGACCTAACATGTTCCAGTTACTTATTGACGTATATCTTCTAGTGACAGCAATTCTTTATTTAAACAAAATTTAAAAAGAAAATAAAGGTATTTCCTGTTAATAATAATAATAATAATAATAATACTTTATTTCCAACGGATTTACACCCAATAACAGGAAATTTATATATATTAAAATAACTGAAAAAAAAAACCTATACGTGCGAATACAAAGAAAAATAACTTAAATATAATTCTTAGTCTATCAGCCGGTTTGAACTTAATTAATACTGTTGAAAAAAAGAAAAAGAAAAAAACAATAGATAAAATCAAATCAGATACTCCAGCACTCTAAGTTAACAACACAGCACAGAATCGACTGCAAAGTGTCAGAATTTATGTCACATAAATGGCAAATTCGATTAAACGTCCTACACATAATTGGAATTGGAGATTTAGCCATAACATTTGACTTTGGTGTACAGCAGTAGAATGTAAGAACATGGCGCATATTTAATCTAGGTAAACAAAAAGTAATGTTGGCCAAAAGCCACGCACAGTCAACTTGATTATTTAAAAGTTTATACAAAAACTTGACTACTATAATGTTACGTCGTTTTGCTAATGATAAAAATTGAAATTTACTTAACAACAATTCATGATTACATCCCCTTTCTGGATATTGCCCGTCAGTCAAGAAGGACAAAAACTTAAGATAGGTTCTTTGTACGGATTCAAGTTGATGTATAAGGTATATACCTTATAAATAGGATACCAAATTAAGACGCCATACTCTAACCTAGACCTAATTAGAGAAAAATATAATGTGTTTAATGCAGTATGTTCAGTTTACCTGAACAGGGGTTTGGGCGTAGCCAATTTGTCCACCCTACTCCCACCCGTTTTAGGGTAGTTTACCTAATTTTTATTATTTCATGCTCTCGGTGAGTCGTCGAGAAGTATCGAGAGGGTAAAGACGTGCCGACCCGAGAGACCGGTAATTTTTATATTATTTGTGCGTTATTAAATAAACCGTGTAACTACGAGTAAAAGGTGATTTTATTTCGCGCAAAACACAGTAACATTTTTAAAGTTTTTACAGTTCCGATAAATGAACCCGTACAGCTTAAACGATTTGGAAACAATTTCTTCTATATGAAAGTTAAATGTTAATTTGGAATCAAATAATATGCCCAAATCCTTAACTTTGCCAACTCGTTCCAGTATAGTACCATTTATAGAGTAGCTATGTATCAAAGGGGCAGATTTCCTGGTATAGGTAACTATATAACACTTTCGTTTATTAAATTTTAATCTATTGTTGTCACTCCATGTTGTAAGGGAATCTAAATCAAGCTGTAATTTGTTACAGTCCTCCTGACTATTAATCTGACAAAATATTTTTAAATCATCTGCGAATAAAAGCTTATTTGTTGTTATGACTTCCGTGATGTCGTTTATGAATAATAAAAATAGCAGTGGACCTAGGTTCGATCCCTGCGGAACACCCGATGTGGCAATGTAATGACTGGAAAAAAAATTTTGATATTTAACACGTTGTTTTCGATTTCGCAAATAGGATTGGAATAACAGAAGAAGATTGTTTGAAAAACCAAGAAGATCTAGCTTTTTAATCAGTAAGTGGTGGTCAATTTGGTCGAAAGCTTTATGAAAATCCATATAGATAACATCCAATTGACCATGGTTGTCAATAGCAGAAGCTGCGACTTGACTGATACATGCCAAATTGGACACAGTGGACCTATGTTCAATAAAGTCATGTTGATGATCTGAAATTAGGTGTTTTATGCAAGGGTAAATACTTTTGTATAGGACTGTTTCGAATATTTTTGCAAAATTGCATATAAGAGAAATAGGACGATAGTTCTCTATTTCAGTAGGATCCCCTTTTTTTAGAACCGGGCAAACACAAGCCATTTTCCACATTTCTGGAAATGTAGAAGTTGTCAGAATCAAATTAAATAATTTAAACAAGGGTTTTACAAATACAATAGCACAGTCCTTAAGTAAAAAACTAGGAATACCGTCAGCTCCTTGCGTGAAGGAATTCTTGCTTTGCTTTAATACCTTTAAGATTAGATCTTCTGATACATTAGTGATTGAAATCAAAGAATTATTTGAAAGAATACTATTCAAAGTGGAGTTATCATAAGCCGGGGTGGAAAAAACGTTCTCAAAATAACTCGCAAAAGCATTGACTATAGTTATTGGAGCAGTAAGTTCTTGGTCTTCGTAGTGCATTAAACTTGGAATACGTGTTACCCCTTTCTTCATGTGGACATATGACCAAAATTTTTTTGGATCTTTAGAAATGGAATACTCTATATCGGACATATACCTTTTGTAGGCTTCCGCAATTCGACTTTTACAACGTGAACGGCAATCTTTAAATAAATTATAATAATACGACGATTTGAATTTTTTATACTTTTTGTGCAAAGCGAACTTCATACGAATACATTGAATAATTTCTTTATTATACCATGGAGGATAGTTGTAGCGGTGGTTTTTATATCTCATTTTCGGTACAGTAGTATCAAATACGTCATTTAATTTCTCATAAAATAGTGAGCAAGCCGTATTGACGTCTGCTTGTTCATTTAAGAGACTCCAATCTGTAGAGACTAACATCTGATACATAACAGGAAAGTTCGCTTTCTTAAAATTAAAAACTTCATAATGATCATTAATAAGTTAATAAGTACGGTCTACTTAGGACAGTAAAAAAAATCCAAATGTACAAAGAATATCTAAAAATTTGAAACATAATATCAGTGTAAGTATAAAAAATAAGTGGGAGTAAAAATGAATAACCAGCTTATCAAATTAAGTGCAGTCAGTAAAATAACTAAGACAATTAAGAGTCTTTGAACTCTGATGACGATATAATGTTCTAAAAATAACAAATAATAAATTTCCATAAAAACAAAATTGTAAATAATACAAAAATTACTACTACAGAAGATGAGAAATCTCTATACAAAAAACGGAAGAAAAGACGATGACCAGGTTTACGCAAGCTCAATTAAATATTTGATTGTCATTAAATTTTTAACACAGCGTTAAAGTACCATGTGGCCGAGTCTACGCCAATCAGACGTCGCTAAACGCCTCGTTAAATGCGTAATTAACTTAATTTTAGTTAAAATATTGTATAAACTGTCCCTATATACAGCTTATGGATTTCTACAATTAGAAGCCAATTTCATGTTGATTTAACGACATTGCAAAACGGTGTTGTAGCAAAAATCTAACGGAATCAGCCGTTTTGCGACGTCGCTAAATCAACTTAAAATTGGTCCCTTACATACTTATTTGTAAACAATATTAAAATATCACTTAGATGAAACCGGATGAACTTTAATCAGAATTAGACCCAAATAGTAGGTAATATTCGGTTCAGAATTACATTTTACTTCACACATTTGCTTTACTGTACTATTTATTCATTTAAGTTAAATCCATGAATGATAAATAATTACAATTTGATACATTAAAGTTTGTAACCTAAACCTAATTAGTTATTTGATAGGGTTAAACTCATAATAATTTTTGCATGCTAAATCCGACACTAAAATGTATATTTGAAGCAATAATGTTAAAAAAAAGTAATAAAAAAGTCGCCGCACCCTCGTCGACAAACTTCAGAAACACTTTTCCAAACCGTTTAAGTTTATAAAAAGGCATTTTGTCGATAGGCGTAACACACTGATTTAAACTACAAAAATGTTGGTAAAAAGTAAATAAGTTCTTAAAAAAAAAAAAATAGCAGCTATGTATAAAAAATTTCAAAAGTTTAAACAACTCAGCGAGTTGACGTATTGTATTTTAACGATTTACTTTACATAGCGAAGAAAATGATGAACCAACTTAGCTAAAAATATTACTACAAACAGTCCATAGAGAGCCATCTATCCTATAATAGCGCAACCGTGACGTTGACGAATATCGAACTCTGCCTTGAGCGCAGTCCAACAAACGAATAAAGAAATCGACTCTTTAATTCCGGACGCAGAATACGAATCCAGACGTGAGATTGAACGAACAAAGTTATACAAGTCGCACTTACCTTTTTCGGAGGTCCTATAATCGTCCTTCTGGAGGTTGCTTTGGACGTGGACGGAATTTCCAGAAGGTTCTCGATGGAGTGAGTCTGCTTCTTCGGTCTGCCAGCCATATTTTCACTGCAAGAAACAGTAAAATATCTGCCTTCAAGTCTGCGTCAAGAGATAGAACTTTGTACACTGTGTTGGACAAAATCGATATCTTATTACGAAACTTTGGGAGTAGTTTGGAAACTTTTATAAACAATGGGAGTTTGATATCACAGTAAACAACTGAATACTGATCAGTGGAAACGTGCTTGCGGCCAAAGCGACGAGCCACAGATTGGTTTTTATAATTTTTCAGTTTAATGAACGCTTTCACACTCGTAATTTGAAAGGGCTTCGGATGAACTCGGACATGTTATAAAATAAGTAGATGCTAAAGAAGCTTTTTCAAGAGAGCAACTAGTTAGTCAGTAAAATAGCTAGTTAATAGAGTAATAGAATACACCGATATAGTTTTAATTTGTAAATGTGTAGTTTAAATCCAAATAAGTATTATCTAAGTTATAAGTGTTATAAGAAATAATGAGAAATAAAATATTAATGTGTATAAAAAGTCATTTTTCTTGCATATTTTGCATATATTTCTTGCATATTTTAGCGATTTTTTGCATATAATGGTAAACTTCTTTGCATACATATGAGCGAGCCTTAATCATAAATGCGTATATTACACAGTTTAACTATAAGCACGATTTAAATGTCAAAACAACTGTTACGAAATAAACCCATACACCGCCCCGGTACGACGCCTATGGGTCTTCTAGTATGTATGTGTTTCTTCTAATATGTAGTATGACTCATCAGCCGGACGGCGCAGCGTTCTGTAAAGGAAAGCCTGGAAGCGGATATCGTGACGGGCCCAGAAAACCCTCGAAGCTGTGTTCTCGAACCCTGGAGAGGAACAAATAGGCCACCGTCGGGAACGATGATTATTCAGTTAGTTCAGTCAGCGAGTGAACGAATTCAGTCAAGTTGGGCCGGAATTATTTTGTACATGGTCGCCGTGTATTCAGTCGTGATATCGGCTAAAGGTGGTACAGAAATTATTAATCTTTTTGCCGAATATTTCTCTTCCATATATACTATACGGTAATCCTGTTGATTGTGACTTTGAAACAACCTTGTGCGTTCATGATGTTGGTCTGGATACTCAATTTCTGATGTATTTGATGGTATTTCAGGTTTAAAACAAACGTGCAATCCAGGGCCGGGCGGTGTTTCTAATATTCTTTTATATAAATGCAAATTCTCGCTTTGTTTACCTCTGTTCGAATTATTTAAAAAGTTCTTGTTGTCTGGTACATTCCCAAAATTATGGAAAATCAGTTACATTGTTCCTATTTTCAAATCTGGAGAATCCAATAAAATAGGCAATTTTAGAGGTGTCTGTAACCAATCGTCTATACCTAAATTATTTGATGCAATATTTACAAGTCAACTGCAATGGATCTCATATTCAATTATACCAGACAGACAACATGGTTTTATCAAGAATAGATCCACATTGTCTGATGTTTTGGAATACCAATCATTTCTTAATCAGGCATTTTCAAATCGCTCTCAAATAGACTCTGTTTATACTGATTTCGCGAAAGCGTTTTATCGCGTAAATAACAGAGTTCTAATTAGGAAACTTAGTAAACTAGGATTTCAAGACTTGACTGTTCAATGGTTGTTATTATCGTTTCTTTCGGAGAGAGTGCAAATTGTGCGCATTGGAAATTACATTTCGACTCCTTTTGAGGTTTCTTCGGGTATTCCACAGGGAACACAATATGAGCCCATACTATTCTTGTTGTTCATCAACGACTTTGTTTGTTATATGCAGACGATTATTATATTTTGTCTTTTTTTTTCTTAATATACATAGCCATCTTTTCGTAAGAAGAAACTTAGAACATGGTTAAAATGGTACATTTTTGCAAAAAAATATGGATTTTGCAATTATGGGGCGAAGCCTAATTATTGCAAAATCGATATTTCTTTACACAAAATTTCCATGTTTTAAGTTTCATGTTGTGAAAAGAAGTCTACACATATTAAAACAAAAAGGCAAAATTTAAGCCCGCCCGCCCGCCCTATCTCAATTGTGATGATTTTTTTTATTCGCCGTGAACCAAGGGAGCTTAACTGCAAAATACTTATTTCTTTACAAGAAATTAAAAACATATTTTTGAGTTTCGTGTTGTTCAAAGAATACTTTGTATATTAAGAAAAAAGGCAAAATATAAACAAATAGACAAATTTGTTCAAACCGAAATTTTGAATTGAATTGCAAAATCAAAAAAATTGAAAAAATAAAGAAAACCTGAAAAAACCGAAAAAATGGGACTTAAAAACTCAAAAATGAAACTTGAAATATCGAATAATTTAAAAATTGAAAAATCGAAAAATGAAAACTTTGAGAAATTGAATAATGGGATAAGTGAAAAAACAATTGAAAAATCGAAAAATTGTAATATTGAAACCTGAAAACTCTGATTAATTAAAAATCGAAAAAGTGGAAAATTAAACAATCAAAAATACAAAAAAAGTGATTTCAAAATTCAAAAATTTTAAAACGAAAACCGGAAAACTAAAAAATTAACAAATTGTAAAAACGAAACATGGGAAAATTAAAAAATTGTAACATCGAAAAAAAAACGAAACACTGAAAAACCGAAAAATTTAAAAGTTCAGTAATCGAACAATTGAAAAAATACAGAAACTGAAAAATCGTAAAATAGAAAAGCCAAAAATTGAATAATAAAAATCCTAATTATTATTTGAAAACAGTGAAAAATTAAATATCGGCAAATTTAAAAATGAAGCAATTACAAAATTGCAAATTTGAAAAAAAAAATTAAAAATGGAAAAATTGAAAATCAAAAATTGAAAAACCAAACTTGAAATATCGAAAAATTGAAAAAATTCGCAAACTGAAAATTGGGTAACGAAAAAACAATTAAAAAATGGAACAACTGTAAAATCGCAAATTTGTAACATTCAAACCTGAAAAAGTGATAAATGAAAATTCTAGGAATTGAAAAACCGAAAAAACGAAAAATTATAAAATTCAAGAGATAGAAAACCGAAAAATTAAAAAGCAAATTAGAAAATCGAAAAATTAAAATATCGACAAATTAAAAAATGCAACAATTTCATAATGAAAATCGAAAAACTAAAAAAATGGAGAAATCGAAACACGGAAAAATCAAAGAAACAAAATAATTTGGAATTACCTACTTGGAAGTACTTTATTTTTAAGTATTATTTTCTCAATTTTTCGTTTTTTAATTTTAACCGAACAATTTAAAAATTGAGAAATCGAACAAGTGCAAAAGTAAAGAAACTGAAAATCGAATAATTAAGAGGTCAAAAATTGGAAAAAGAAAAATTGTTACCTTAATAATGAAAAAACTGAAAATTTAAAAAACGGAGAAATTGCAAAATTGAAAATCAAAAATAGAAAAAACTAAACTTGAAACACCGGGAAATTTAAAAATTGTAATCTTAAAACTTGAGAAACTGAAAATTTCGATAATAATTGCAAAAACAACTGAAAATTTTAAAAATTGAGAAAAAAGAAACTGAAAAATCGAAAAACTAATTAATTAAAAATCCAGAAATAGAAAAATACGGAAAACAAAATTTTCTAAAAATAAAAAAATCGACAAGTCGTAAAATTCAAAATTGAAGAATGTCAAAATAAACATCGAAAAAATGTAAAATTAAAAAATAGGAAACTGAAGAATTGAAAAAAAAACAAAACGAAATGTTGAAAAATCGGATAACGAAAAAATCAACAATTGATAAAAATCAAAAAATAAGAATATCTTAAAATAGAAAAATTGAAAAAACGAGAAACTATCAAATCTAAAAATTATACCGTTGAGACCTGAAAAAATGGACGAAATAAAAATCGAGAAACTGAAAAATTGACAACAAAAAATTAAACATTAAGAAATCCTAAAATCGCAAAGCTAAGAATCTTAAAAACTTCAAAAATCGATGTGAATTAAAAAAAAACACAGATGAAAGCAATAATATTCGACTTTGGACCACTTTGAATTTAGCGCCGATGTACTTTGTTGTGGTTGGTCGGCACGGGTGCGAAAATTAATATATGCTGTGAACACTATGATCACTCTATACTTGTAATTTATCATTGCATATATATTGCGTTTTTTTTCTTAATATATGTAGACTTACTTCGACAACAAGAAACTTGAAACATGTCTAAAATGGTAATTTTTTGTAGTAATCAACTTAAAACATCTACTTTTCTTCTACAACCCCTTTAAATACGGCAAAAGTTGAACATTAAAGTTTCTGTCCGTAACGGGGTTTATAAATCCACTTAATCCATGTGGTTTTTACAGTAGAAGCAATGTTTCTTTCACCCCTGTTCTGTATTTCTTGAAACAATTCTGCAATTTTTCGATATAAAATTTTTCAAATTCTCGATTTTTATGTCTTCATTTTCTCGATTTGTCATTTTTTAATTGTTCAACAAAAGGACAAATTTGTTCAAACCGAAATTTTGAATTGAATTGCAAAATCAAAAAATTGAGAAATCGAAGAATTGAAAAAATAAAGAAAACTTGAAAAAACCGAAAAGATGGGACTTAAAAACTCTAAAATGAAACTTGAGATATCGAATAATTTAAAAATTGAAAAATCGAAAAATGAAAACTTTGAGAAATTGAATAATGGGATAAGTGAAAAAACAATTGAAAAATCAAAAAGTTGTATTATTGAAACCTGAAAATTCTGATTAATTAAAAAACGAGAAAGAAAAATTGAAAAAACCGAAAAACAAAAACATGGAAAAATGAAAAAAATTTAACATTGAAAAACCGAAAAATTTAAAAGTTGAGAAATCGAAGAATTGAACAAATATAGAAACTGAAAAATCGGAAAATGGAAAAGCTAAAAATTGAATAATAAAAACCCTAATAATTATTTGAAAAAAGTGAAAGTTAAAAATCGGTAAATTTAAAAATGAAGCAAGTACAAAATTGCAAATAAAAAAAAAAAATTAAAAATGGAAAAATTGAAAATCAAAAATTGAAAAACCAAACCT